AAAAAAAAAAAAAAAAAAAAAAAAAAAATTTAAAAAAAAAAAGCATACATGAGTAATATGCAAATCATCTATCACATAATTGTTGAATAAAAAGTTCCTTAAATTATAACATTTGGAGATTTTCCTGTTTATGTTTGCATTACAAGATACAACACCTGCATTTTCTATTATTTTTTACCTAATCTGTATATAAACAAATGATGAAATACCAAACATCAACGTGAGCACTAGACCGATTTTGAACAACGTAACCAGACATTTTTTTTCTTTTGATGAAGAATTATAGGAACAATATGTAAATATTAAGTGAATGCCTAATCCCAGAAATATAAATTTAGTGGTCAGGTGCAACTACTATTAAAATGTACGTACAGATATCATTCATGTTCTAAAAAAAGCAATAAAAATTTTTGCATTCATTATCCAAAAAAGGAAAAAGCTAAATAATTATTTTTTACGAAAACTCGAACTTGGAGCGTATATTTCTGGTTCTTGAAATGTACAATTTCTCGAAATAAGATTTTTTTATATATTGAGAAATATGGAGTAATATGGAGAAATATGGAGAAATGTTATTTTATAATGAGAATTTCGACAATTAATTAAACATAATAAAAACAATAAAATTCAATAAAATTAAAAATTCTGAATAACAATGAACTATACTAAAATAATCGTAACCTTAGGTATTTACTAAGTGTAGCATAAAGCATGTGCAGTAAACATACTATATTTAGCTATCAAACTTACCGAAATTAAATGCCTTGTTTTAGTATGATCGACACATCAAATTTAGTACAGCATTCTTTTCTTTTTTATGCTAAAAATACGATTCAATATGAGTTACATGACCAAAAATTTTTTTGAATTAAATTTAACTCTTTTAAGTTATTAAAAAATAATTATTGATTGGTGAATATTTGATATTGAAATTATTAGTAAAAAAATTTGTCTGCATTCTTTCAATTTCATTTTTACTTTTTTTTTTTTTGCCATTTTTTTTTTTCTTTCTAGAATTCTATAATTAGATTAGTTTTTATCAACCCGTTTGTCTATTTGTAACAAAAAATTTATTTTTCTGTAATAATTTATTTTTGTCCAAACGTTTTTTTCGTTACATGTTCATATTTTTCATTAGAAGCTCCGTTAGTCCGTTTATCAAATCTCGGATCAACGTTTTTTCTACGACACTGCATTTTGACGCAAAATGTTTTTTTTACCGCCCAACCAGTACGTGCATGACTTAATTGACCTATCGTGCATAATACCCCTTCCATAAATAATAAATGTAGCATCCGTTCACCCCTAATCATTGAAAAAATTAACGCAAAAAATATTATATTTATTTATTTATAGTTTTTTTATTTTATTTTTATTATCATCTTTCAAAATAAATTACATTCTTGGTATTTATTAAAGTTCATTATTTGTATTATTTGTCAAATTTAAACTAAATAAACAAATAAATAATAATCTCTTTTTTACTATGGCCAAAGAAAAAAGCCGTAACCCGCCGAAATTTTTTACACGTGATGATATTAATATTTAGATTTTATTTACATAATTTCATATCTCATATCTATATAATATCATCCTTTCCCATGAATGTATATACCCGGATATTCATATAATGAATTTCTAATATAATAATAATTTCCCCCTGAAATTTTTTGTGGAATGTTATTTATGTTATAGTACCCGGGTTATTATAATTTATTATAATAAAGAACGCTTTTTGTTCCTCATGTATGACTAAGATCACCGCATCTTTGATAAATTCAGTATTATAACAATCGTTGGTAAAAAAGATCATTTTTTTTTTTAAAAAAAAAAGAAAATTCATTACGTATTATTTATTTTTTGTAATACGAAAAAATATTATTTACACACACCTCCCTGTGTCATTTAAATATTTTTGGCGTTTAATTGAGAATATAAAAATTTTACATTGTTTTGTCTAATATAACTATAAAAATATGTAATATATAAATTAATTGTAAAAATGTTGCAAATATTTAATAATATTAACTAATAAGATATTATTTACTAATTTTAAAGAATAAAAAAGAATAAAAAAAAAGAATAAAAAGAATAAACAAAGAATAAAAAGAATGAAAATATTTATATTATNTTTTTTTTCTTTTTATATTAAAAAAAAAAATTATTATTTTGGTCATCTGATTCATTTTTATTTTATTTTATAACACAAAAAGTAAAATTAACTTTCTTTTTTCAGTTTCGGTACCCATCTCGAATTTTTTTTTAGAACAGGTTTATATTGGCGTATCTCATTTTCCAAATTTAACTCTATTTTATTATTATTTGTTTTATCGATAACCATCAATCCCAATTCATTTTTATAAAAATATCAAAATATCAGATACGTATTACAAAATCTAACTGGATGTAGTTCGGGCCAAATTCATATTGAACGGCCGAAATTTATGAAATATAACGTTGACCAGAATTAACGTCCAGTGATTATTTATTTTGTTTATTTATTTTACGGCTAGCAATAATCCAGTGATTATATGGCGCAGCAATCATATTATTCACATATCGCATATCATGTGACTACGCATACCGCCAAATGAAATTATAGCTTCTAGCAACATTATAGACTCTTGGCCAGCATTAAGAATATAATCTAGACATGAACACACAGTAATACAAAATGTCCCGTTATCCGCCCATGACGATAGGTGATTGGTCCGGTCATTGCAAACGCAAAAATAAAAGATTAGTGTTCGGAATAAATTAGGTGATATTCAAATGGCTGATCCAAGAAATATCTTCTCTGGAGTTAGTGTTGGTCTCTGTGAATAGTTGTGTCCAAAAGTAAAGTAAATATAACGGTTGTAAATCAGAATTACCATCTTTAGCTAACCACAATAGTGCAGTATTTACAGTAAATTTACAGCTTATGTTTATTATATTACAACCGCTAAAGGTTGTAATTCGATATATAATAATAATCTTTACTTACGGCAACCAGCCTTATCTGGAGTCAATCCCTTCTATAGCAGTTGATTCAAATCTGGTATCATATAATTTCATGTGCCATGCCAATATACCATGCAAATAACTCATAGTCGGTAGATTTTTTGCGTCTTCAAAGTATAGTTGCAAGATCGGTTTTGAGGATTCGGAAGGGAGTTGGCAAATAAAGTCATTTTTACGTTATCCTATACAAATAATAATGAGAAACAAGCTATTGTACACTTTAGTTTGTGATACTGTGAATTTTTTAGTTGCAAAAAATTTGCATTTAAACCTTTAAAATACTAAACAAACTTTTAGTTGTATAGTGTTCAACTGAAGATCTGCAGAAATGGTGGCGTCAATCAAGTAAATATGGCAGGAATTCCCCAACCATTTTTGACTGGGGCGATGATATCCCATTTCTTGCGAAACTTAGACTATATTTGCAAAACCAAGGTGTAGATCCAGCAGATACAGCAGTAGATCCACCAACAGGAAAATGGTGGCGTCAAATAAAAGTAAAAAATTATGTGAGAAATTTATTTTAAAAAACAAACTATTTGAAACTTTGTGATAAATATTATGTATTAAATATGTAAGTGTTGAATGGGTTCACATAAAGAGCATTACTCAAGGGTATCAGAAAAAGGTTACTGATGATCATATATGAATTTTTTGCATTTGACTTACGGATCACGAATAAATAGCGATCAACAGAAATTTGGAATAATTTTAAATTATTACCCGATCTTTCTCTCTCAAACCATTTGGCAGCTTTACCTTTTAGGCATGTTTAAAGAAGCCGAGAGCGCCAAATTATTGTCGGAGGCAGTTAGTTTATTACATTACTCAGTTTATAATATTTTGATTATTTGTAATTCAATTAAATAATTTTAATTTATAATAATTATTACAATAACTACTCTTAATAGAAAATTTTTATGATTGCAAATTTTCTTTAAAATCTTTTTTTGATCGTCACGACGTCACGAACTTCGAAATGTTGATCATCATGTGAAATTGAACCAATTATCACATAAGTGATATAAACGTGAACGTGTTAAATTGGTCATAGATTTGCCCGTTTAACTCATTAAATTATAAAAATCACAAAAAAACCATTTTTTAATTTAATTAAAGAAATAATTTTTTTAAATCAAAATAATCGACTTACTATCAAGAATTGATTTCGATTAAAAATTTAAAATTCAATTTTCCTAATTTTTGTCGATGATTGTTGCTAATATTAACCGGGGAGAAAATTAACCGGGTAAGGAATTACGTTAATTCTGTTAATTCTGGTACAATCCAGTTTTGAAGCTTGACTAGGAATTATGCAATTCTGCCCGCCGGTTAATTTTCGCCCCAGTTAAATGTTTAACAATTATATACCTATAAATTTATTTTGATTTTCTTTGAATAAACATATTTAATTTGCCTTTGATTAAGAATCAATTGTCTTTCAGTTAAAAATTGAATTCTCTTCAGGAATCAATATTTAATTCAGATTATAATTTTTAAACGAAAAAAAAACTTACGGTTAAAATTAAGTTTTTTTACGATTCAAGGATACTACTTTTACGGAAATATCTGGTTTATTAAATTTAATAATATTATTTTCAACTTTTATTTTCATATTTGAAATGCATCACGAAAATAAGGCGAGCAAACTTTTAATATAAAAGAATGCAAACGAAAAATCTTTGTGTTTGCTTCTTCTCCAACTAATACTTCTATATCATAAAATTCACCAATTTTTTACGATTAGCTAAATATTACCAGTGGTGACGGTGAATTTATGATGCAATGGCGGCTTATTAGATTTTTAATTTTGGCCAAAAGTACATTATAATGCTGGTGTGGTGACCATCATCACTTGGTGAGCTTTAGCAATTTTCTTAATTTTTATGATTAAAATTAAATTTTTTCGACTAGAATTCAATTTTTTCATATGGGCTAATCTACAGAATCGCCCAAAATTAAGGATTGTAAAATTTAGAGGCATTAGATAAACCAATAAATCACGTGAATATTTAAGCACGTGAAAAACTGAAAATCAGCGAAAAATCAAAAAAAAAATGTTTAACTAGCTCAGATTATTATTGCCGACCAGACTTTCACATATATATATCTGGAAGAATCTAAGAATCTGGTAACGGAACGGCCGCAGTTTTTTATTTAAGCTGTGTACCAGTAACTTCTTAACACCACAGTTATATTTATGAACGGGAAAATAAATGGATTGGTGAAATTTGGTTTGTCAAACATTAGAGTAATGATTTTATAAATGATGTCCAATTTGGTAAACATCAACAAATCCAACTTTGTTTCTATGCGTTCTTTTGAACAACTGTTGTTGCCAGTTCTTTACATTTAATAAAAATTAAACTATATATTTTATCGTGCGTAAGCAGAAGGTTATTATTATATATTAAAAAGGTATATACTTAAATTAAGTCAATCACGGTCAATAAAATAAACACAAATTCACCGAAATCTATCGTTGATCCAATCAGATGTAAACAAAGTGTAGCACTCCTGGCATATACGATCAGACACAAATAAAGGACAACAAAAATACAACAACAAAAAAAAAAAAAAAAAAAAAAAATAGAAAAGGAAGACGAAGCAACTGGATGTGAAAATATGGGCTTTATTATATATAAAAATGTCAAGTTATCTCTCTTTTTTAATCTTTACAAAACTTCATATCTATATTAATTTTTTAATAATAAAAACTATTAAATATATTTGTTTTAGGAAATGTAAATCATTAATTATTTGAAAGGTTACTTAGAATTTTTAGAATATTTTTTTGCAAGGTTTCTTGAAAATCAAAATCTAAGGATTATGAATTATTTGAATCTAAATTAATGAAAATTTCATCTCCAAAATTATTCTTTCATGTTAATTGGCGATTCTTTTTTGAGTATTTTTTACATATTCAGTTGGTATACCGCCACACACCACCTTTCTTTCTTTTACGAAATATTTTTCTAATAAATTGTTAATATGTCATATCAATAACAAAATAAGGTTTGTAAAGGATGTCATTATACTAGAGAAAGTTGTGAATTTTTTAATGAAAAAGGAATTATTTTGAAAATGTTGCAAACGCTAAAATAATATTACAAGATCACATTCAATAAAAAAAACAGAAAATCTGTCGCGACAATTAGTTATGCAGGATATAACAGAAACCATATATAATTCCTTAACCTCTTATAAATAATACTAATAAACTTTACCAACCCATCGCCAACTGTGCTACGGTGGTGAAGGAAAAAATACTGAACTAAGCATGAGTTTAAATATTTTAATTGTGAAATTTGATGCTATA